AAACAGAGCGTGTCTCTTGTTATTCATTCAGATCTTTTATTAAGAGTGAAAGTTGGGCCGTCCCATCTGTGTGATATTACAACATGAAAAGTCACATACATACTAAGAAGACCCCACAGAATTGAGAGCCTTTCAACAGTACAGAGCCATAGGTTACAAAAATCAAAATACAAATGATCTCCCAAATTTGGCAGGAAATAAGTACAATAAGAGGAAGCCTGGAATGGAAGGGCACTTGCTTTTCAATAAGGCAGTTAAAAAATGAAAGAAAATGGAAAAGAAAAAACCCAAAAACAAACTCCCCAAAATGCACTCTGATGGGCATAACGGACAATAGAAATGTAAAACAAGGGATCCTGTACAACCCTTTGTCATTGGCAAAGATGTGTTCATTAAGTGAAGCAAGCAAATGGATTGTGTGTAAAGATGCAAGCTAGATGAGAGAGCTGATTGTAGACATTTTTACCTTAAGAACGGGTCCCACCTTGCCACAGGGTCCACCTCAAAATCCTTCCCAACCATAAAAGCAGAAACAGTCTGTAATAAAATGAAAGGGAATAAAAACGCACCCCTAAGGCACGCTGCTTTCCAGGGCATGACCTTGAACTCCGCTGTCCTTCAGCTGACTGCCTAGCTCAGAAAAGGGACTGTGAGGCTGGAAGTCGCAGGGCAACAGAACTGGGTCTATCCAAGCCAGGGCCAAGTGAATTACACAACCTCAAAGGACTGTCTGAAAAGCTGAAGTCTGACCAAAAGATCCCAGACCAACCCCATTCCATGACAATTTGGATTCTAGGACAACCCTTCATCTCCCACCAGGGCTCCTGCACCCTGATCCTAGGCTAGATCCGTTCTCCCCTAACATTAGTTTGGCAAAACTCAACTGGGGGTCTTTCCTAATCATTTCACTCAACCTTGAGTTCTGCAGGTCGGTTCACAGTCCTAGAGAGCCAGTTCGGCCTTGGCAAACTGCTCAGCTGCAAGGTCTCAAGAGTCTGAGGGCAGCTGATTTCAGACTGGACTGAAGAAACAGCCTGCCAGCTGGACAGTGATGAGAGTGCTGGACAAGTCAGGAGAACTAGAGGTCAGTCTAGACACGTGGAACTTCAGGCAGTGCTTTTTCAGTTCTAGTTTCCCTATCTCTAAAAATGGATGATTGGACAACAACATCCTTAAGGGGTTTTCCAGCCTGAAAATACGGCATTTCTCTGAGACTGAGGCATGTGGTTTCCTCCTTAAATTCCTAAGCTTTGTTTTCTCAATAAAAACTGCGTGAAGTACTTGTAGGAACTGTATTAAGGTACCGGCGGCCCTTGGCAGCTACGGAACCTTTAAACTCCACATGGAGCAATGTTAACATTGAAAAATCTAGCTGAACTTTTTCCTAAGTGAGGCTATCAACATCAATTTTTGTGAGGCAGCACAGAACTAAGTCCTGTCAGGTTATTTTTTTAGCAGGCTGATAACACCCTTCCCCCATCCCAGTCCACCAGCTTCAGCAAGAACAAGTAAGTACAAGCAGGCTGGTGGGGTCCCTCAACATTCTCCAATAAGGAACTAAATGGACCAAAACTCGGGAAGAACAGTCTTGTGTCAGACACAAGGCAAAGTGTGCCTATTTCCTAGCTGCTCCTTTCCAAATGACAAATGCTATGCCCTGAGACTGCCAGCACTTAGGTCATTGGCCAAGATGAACAACTTGTTTCATGTGGCCCAATGAGGCGTAGACTAAGACGGAAATTACAGAGAACACAGAAAAAAGCCAGAGGTTTACAAAGATAGAACAGGCTTCCCCAAGAGGTAGTGAGTTCTCTGTCCTCAGAGGTGTTTAAGCCCAGACCTCTGGTGGGATAGTTACAGGCAGAATGCAAGCACCTATAGGGAGACTAGATTAAATGACTTAAAGGCCCTTCCCCACTTGGATCTTGCCATTGTATGACTGAGAGCCTTCAGATGATTTCCATAATGCAACCACTCTGGGATCCATACATGGGGTAGCCTATTTCAAAAGGCAAGACCCCCAGAGTAGGTTCCCTCTCTCCCCCACCTTCTCCCTTCTACCTGGCAGTTGCTCTGCAAGATATTAACAAAAAAGTTCCCACAAAATAAACAGCCGAAATGCCAAGGTTAGCTGCAACATACCAGCTGCAAACAATTATTATCTGTTCTCTGAAACGCTAGCAGTGACTATTTAGCTATTACAGGAACATCTAACAACTTGGCGGATGTAACGCATAAGTGAAATTCCTCTTTATTTTACAACACCGGTCTTGAATCCTTTGGTTTTCAATATTTCATGGGATTCAGTTATGATCTTTTTCACATGCCATTGCCAGACTAAGAGTTTGTTCATCGAAATGAGAAGTTGTCCGTTTGTTTTTTAAAAACCTTATAACGAAGCAAATGAATGACAGGATATTGACGTTTCCATGTGACCACCTTCAGGCATATGAAAGAATCACATCAGGCCGGAACTGAGGCAGGAACTGTACTCTTTAAGGAGACAACAATACGAGATCTAGATTTCATATTCCAGTTTTGCCCAGGAGCACCAAGAGGAGAGAAGGCAATGCTGCAACGTTAGAGGTGGAGAGAGTGGAAGAGTCCTTGACAGATGGTATAAAAACGCAGGCAGCCGAGATGAACACTGCTTTCCCAAAACCCCACTGCTCCCTGAAGCCAGACCCTGTTGCTCTGGAGGTCTGGCCCTTTCTCACAGGCAGAAGTTTTGTGGCCACAGACTAAGGCAAGTGGTTTGATGAGAGAACAGATTTCTGCACATGAAAAAAACCTAAGTTCAGATAGCTTTGTCTTTTCTATCTCCTGAACTGTTTTCAAAGAATGAAAAGATACCCACAAACTCCCCTTTCGAAAAGCACCTTTCTTAGAGGAAAGACGGCATGGGACTTGAGTGCACACGGCATCTGGCTGAAGGTGAAAAGTTTCCCCAGGCTTCACTTAGGAACAAAAGTATCTTACAGACACACTTGAACAGATGGATCCTAACACCACGTCTTCTTGTAAAGAAATGTACTGCTGTCTCAACTGGGAAAACAGATTTGCTGTTAAAGAAACATGTCTGCCCTGTCTGACAATTTTGGTTTAAATATTAGAAAGATACACTTTATTCTTCTGTAAGACATGGACATTTTCAGAGAAAACACTCCACCCTGGCAAAGTGGGCTTGGTGTTTGACTCCTTCAAAGCCTTTCTAACTCAGCCTGTCAGGAAAAAGCACAAATAAACTCCATATCTTTGACCCTTCTGGATGCCTGCATCAGCATCCTTGAGCCATAAGTAGTGAGAAGATCTCAAAATACACACTGAATCTGAATGATTGAAAATACCTTGATTGAGAGCACCTTGACCTGCCCTCCAGAACCAGGAGGCATATTGAAATAAGATCCCCACATAGTCCAGAGTATATTCTATGTACATTCATTTACACATATTTAAAAAGGCAGCAATCTGCTAAGCATGCATGCTGAACACTGGTGAAAGCTTGGCCGCAATTGGACACACCGTGTTTTAGTTCGTGGTTGCCCTGTGCCCATCCACAGAAGGCATGCACTCTGCTCCAGGGAACAGAGACCTCCAGACACACTGCCACCCTGCTCCACTGGGATTTCAGTCCTGACTTCTGTGTGTTGGTGCTGAGATTAAGCCATCTAAGAGACATTAAAACTCTCTGCCAGCCCTGGCTGCCCACTGCTCCTTTTATTATTTAAGGCTTAAGAAAGAACTCAGAATTGAAACTGAGTAGGAAAATGACACTTTTGACCATAATATACATCAAGACGGTCAGAAATTTGAACCCAAATAATTTTCTTTTTCTCCCACTCCCCTACCAATACCCTCTGCCCCTCAACACCCTGATTACACAATTTTGCAAAAGCGTACTTTTGGGTATAAAGCTTTGTTTTTACAGGATACTTTGGCTCTGATATAATTAGATAGAGGAATCTGACTTTTTGAACATAAAAAAAATCAGGTATTAATACTTTCTTTAAAAAATAATTTTAGCAATCTTTCCCCCTAATGGGGAGACAAATTACTCACAAATATGAGCATCAGATAGCACCGGCCTTTGTTGCTCAAACCTGTGATTTGCTGCTGACCTCAGAGCCTGGGGGTCAAGGCCAGCCACACTTTCTATCCCAGAGCTTGACTTCTACATGGTCCTTGGCTGCATTCTTGGTGGTTGTGAACTGAGAATTAATAGTTCTGAGACATTAGCCCCAAATCACTAAACATTTCTGTTTGTCAAAGCATTTACTTCCCAGGAGAATGGCTGAAACTGTAATATGTAATTTCACCCCAAGAGTGAAGCAGAGAGGGGTGTGCAAAGGATCGCATTTCCTGTGATGGTCTTTATATCAGTGTTTCTGGAACCTCGACAAATACAGCTTTGTACATGCAACTGCCCTGAAGTCCTCCTTTGATCTGAAATCTCTCTGTTGGGCATCAGGGCTCCCTCCATACTCTAGCAGTTAAATGGCAAGAACAGAAATGGCAGAGTCTCAGTAACTAGAGGTGTGAAGCAGCTGTTACAAGGCTGGCACTGTCAGTGACAGCTCAATTAACCAACAAATACTGACTGGGTGCCTACTCTGACAAGGCACAGGGCGATGAGGGGACCAGTGTCAAACTGATTCGCTGATAAACTACAAAGCCTGCAACAAAGGGGAACATCTGCATCCCCAGTGGGCAGCGTGCAAGTCAAGATTTGGGTCTGCTCACGCACCTCTGCCTTCAATTGTACCTCACTGCTATTCCAGGGCTAAGTCTCACATGTGGCAGCCTGGTATTACAAGGTGACAAGCAAAATATTTTTTATCCCACATTTCCAGTAGAATTGACTTAATGCTTTGTTAAATGCTGCAATACATAGTTATTCTTTCAATCTTTTTATGATTCAGTTTTTTTAAAGAAATTCTTTCTATATACATGCTGAATCATGAGAATATAATCCTCCTGACCAAAAAGATTTACAGTATTCATCAAACTTTTTTATTTACAATAAAATTTAACAGTCTTCATGGGCTTAATGGTAGCTGACATCACCTGTGCATTAAGCATTATACTTCATGCCTTTAGGATGTGCTTCACCCTCACTCAAGCTGTTTGCCACCCTCTGATTTCTGATCCAGTCTACTCTTGTTACTCTTCACCATGTAGATGAAGTAGGCGAGGGTCTCCTTTTCATTCACAGGTATGTTCCTGAAGTGTCGGCTGACAGTCTACATGGGGGAGAAAAACAAGAGTGCTGTCAACCATGTACAAATCAGGGCTACAAACTGTGCTAATGGTGCTTCCCAACTACAGCGAAATCCCAGCAAATGAGCAGGAAGTACTGCCAAGAGCCCAGAATGCCCTTCTCTCCCAGGGGTTTAGGTGGTGTGGTTTCCAGGCTTCCAAAAGAGGCAATTTAACCCACAACACTCCCAAAGTGCAGTTCTATTTCCATGAGCGCCAGCTGTCCACATGGCATGATTTCATGCTCACCCCCACGGAGGGAAAGATGGGAACTGCTCTGGTTGGCAAGCTGCCATCATACCCTCTCAGGCCCTGGAACTGGGCAGAAACTTATCTTTTTCAGTTGTGTCAAATGAACAGCCAACTGAACAGACAAAAGTGTTTGAGTCCAGGAACTCCTCTAAATAGTACACAACTGCCTCTTGTGAGATATATCAGATTTGAAAGCAAACTCATCATTTACTACATATTCCTGCACTTAAAATTTTTTTTACGAGTCTCCTCTTGCCTCACCTGATTCTATCCCTTCCACCAGGGGTGAACCTTGGCAAATGGCAATGCTATCTTAAAGTAGAAAAGGCTTGTGTGCGCCTATGTTTCATCTAACCATTGGTGAAGGAGAGGTTTAAGAAAAATGATGGATCAGTGAGAACGCTCATTGGAAAGACCAAAACAATCCCAGCTATGAGCCTTTAGGGAAATCTTTGAATGAATGGCTCGAGGTGGCTGGGACAGACTAAGAGAAAGAGAGAGAAAACCTGAAATAGAGTGGTTATCTCCCATCTGGGTAGTACGATTGCATTTTTCTTTTCTCTGTTTTTCAAATTTTCTACAATATGCAGAAAAACACATGAATAAAAAAGGGATGACAGTGTGTCCACAAACATGCCAACAGTGCAGAAATATTAAGCCTGGCTGTCAAGATATTAAAAAAATGGACAGTGGAACATGTTTTTTTCCCCACCTCTGAACCATGTTAAGGACTCAGGGTAGGAGAAAGCTTTCTTGGACTCCATTCATTATAACAAGTATACTTCCATTACCAACATCTGCATAAAAGACATCAAGGAAAAAATCAAAGAAAGAAAAATAGTCCCGCAGGATGTTAGCAAAAGTTTTGAGATGATTAACCTGACACATCTGATGTATACAAAGGACACATCTATAAGGAATTACGCAAAACAAGGTTTAAGCAAAAGAAAACTCAGGACTTGGAATCCTGATATTCTAGGCCTGACTCTGTCACCAACTTGCTGTGTGATTTTAAGCAAGTCATTTCTTCTCTCTGTGCCATGGTTTCTCTTCTAGAAATGTGCCCTTCCAAGTCTAAAAGCTATGGGATTCTAAATTATCAACAGAGGGAACACGGAGTTGTTCCAGAGGTACAGAGGGGATTAGGACTAACATACACACACGGCAATAGGGGAGAATCAAAGTCCACCATCAGCAGCACAGTGCTCACTCTCTTTTTAGACGGCAATTTTGTTCACCTACTTCTGCTAGCTGGGCCTTATTGAAGCCTGGTCTGGTCTGCAATTTGTAGTGTCGTTTATAACGTCGTAGAGTGTTCACCTGCAGCTGGAATAGATCAACCTAGAGAGAAGAGAAACACATTATCCATCACCCAGCCAGCCAGGACTCATCGACAGCCCACTGTGTGCCTAGCACTACACTAGGAGGGGGTGGGAGCGGGAGGACTACCAAAAAAGTCTTAGAAACGGTCCTGTGAGGACTAGTATCTCCCTGGGGAGACAAAACTAACAGTAAAAAAGAATTCTGGTGGGGTGGGTGGTCCCAGAAGGCAACTGGAAGAGGTAAGAGAGAGCAGGGTTTAGAAGAGAGGCAGGGTTTAGAAGGCATGAGGACAGAAGGGAATGAGGGAAATCATGATTGCTGAAAGTCAGGAGATGAACAGACAAGCTAGGGGGTCACAGGCAATTTGGTTGGGCTGAAAAGGTGAGACTGGCAGTATGTCTTGAAAAGCAGAAGGAGTCATCAGAGGCGATGGAGGGTGATGTTTCAGGAAGATGGATCTGGTGGGGGTTTGTAGGGAAGACTGATGGGGGGGTGGATGGAGATGCTGTAGCAATGGTCCAGAAATGAGATGATGAAGTTGAGCTTTGGTGGGGTGGTGATGGGGGCAGGGGTGCATCAAGGATGAAGAGGAAAGGCAAAACCAGAGAGACATCCTGAAGGAAGATATGCCAGTACTTGGTAGCAGACTGGAGAGATGAGCATGAAGGATGGCAGCTGGAAGAACTATTATTCTCAAAATAATTCTTTTCTAGGCTCATCCTTCAGGCACTTGAATTCTTAACAGTCCTCCAGAGAAAGCTCAAAAGCTACTGTAGTGAATGCACAAATCAGCAGGTTACGGTCAGGGTCTCCACAGATGACTGGATAACAGAGGGAAGGGGACCCCTTTTGTTCTAACACAGGAAGAGAGGAAAGCTGCAGTCATGAAATATTGAAGGCCCAGAAAGTTGGGCTGCCTTTACCTGCCTCTAAAAGAGATGTTCTTGCTTCAAGCAGGTGGACAGCACTTAAAAACAAAATGAACGATCAATAGGAGGGACCAAAGTCTTTCACTCTTTTCAAAACATTCCTCAAAACTGTTTTTATGTGTGTGAAAAGCATTTAAAAATTGAATACATCCATTTCTTTATATAATAATAATAATGCTAAAGGCAATAGAAAGATACTGTAAACCAATGCTGGAAAAGGGGACATGAGGAGGGGCAGAGAAAAAGGGCTGTGTTTTCAAAGGTTTCCTCCACATCTGCAGACAAAGGTCTCCCTACTCTTTCTATCCCTACACAGTCATTTTCACTCTGAGTGCTAACAGGCAGTTGCCTTATGAAATATTCATGCATTAAATATTCAACGTACTCTACAAACGGTTCTTCTTTTGCTGAGTCTTAAGTGAAAACAATTTAGATAGACAGAAAATCTAATATTCCTTCCTGGAGCCTTGCTTAATAGACACTGGCACCTTGAAGGAAAGGCAGCCTTTTGGTTTGAGAAGCCTTGGTATCACCGTCTAGAGCAGTGGTTCTCAACAGGGGATGATTTTTGCCCCTCAGGGGACATGTGCCAATGTCTGCAGACTTTTTTTTTTAATTGTCATGACTCAGCAGGTGGTACAACTGGCATCTAGTATTCACTAGCCAGTGCTGTTGCTGAACATCCTACAACACACAGGACAGCCCCCCACAATAAAGACTTATCTGGCCCTAGTGTCAGTAGTGCCAAAGCTAAAAAACCCTAAGAAACTATAACTGACTATGGAATGGATCTATAAGAACAAGCCTAGACCAAGAATCACAGAGTCAGAGAGTGACAGAAAATCAGAGCTGATACGAACCCAGAACTTACACCCTCATTTTACAGACCAGAAAACAGTCTCCAACTTTAAAGGCAAAAACAAAGTTTTAAAAAATTTGATATTGTGGTTGTACTTAAGCATCTGTCAGGGGCTTCTTGAAGCAAGGCAGTGTGGCCTACTGGAAGGGGCAATGGACAGAGCATCCAGACTATATGCGTGACCTCAGGTCTCAATGTCTGTCTGTAAAATGATGGGGGCAGTTAGACCAGTTGATTTCTAAGCTTTCAACTCTCAGATTCAGTATTACTCTGATTCACACTTCAAATAAACTACAGCAAAGCAAAGGGGACTAAAATTACTTCTTAGCACAAAAAATCAGACCAGGCCAGAGGTAAGGATCAGATTGGAATCCATTCCTTCAGCTTCCCAGGCTGGTTATTTCAACCTTTACCTCAGGAATATCAGTGTCATGCTCAGGAGAATCTCCACCATCGTCACTTGTCTTCCTCTTCCTTTTATTTCGTACACTCTGGATGAAATTTTTGTGGAAATCGCAGATATATAGGTGCCTTACCTGATGGGAAGCAAAGCAAAGTCAGAGTCGTCGATTCCATGGAAAAAACAAGAGACATCTGTCGAATTATGGGCTCCTCTCCTTTGCAAAGCATTGGAAAGGTGGAAAGAAGAACAAGATGCAGGCCATGATTTCAAGAAGCTTATTGCTGAGTTGCTGCACAAGAAACACACAGAGAGAAAGCTAACACCACACTGGGTGGTGTATTATACCACTGAACGGGGAGGGCAAAAAATGGTACAGATTCAGCAAAGGGAGAGATCCCTGCAGCTGGGACGGTCAGAGTGCAGGTCCCTGATGAGAAGGGAGGATCTATCAGGTAGACAGGTAGCATTCCAGATGGGAAGGAGAGCCAAGATTTGGAGCATCAAATGAGGATGACAGAAGGGGTGAGTGAGGAGGCCCAGGGTTGACAGTGTTAATTGGGTGGGAGTGACTGCCCATGTCGGAGAGTGATGAGAGATTCAGAGGTGGGGAGGGGGTGAGAGCAGCTTGGAATTTCCTTCAGACAAGGTAGAGTCCCCCAAGGCTTTTGATGTAGGGAGTGATGTGACATTTTCAGAAGACCTGTAAGAATGATAAACTTATAGTGGGCTGGAATGCATCACCCTGAGGAGGAAAGCAGAAAAGAAGGATGGTGGTAATGGTATATGGGACATGCTATTTTTACATTGGCCAACAGTTACTATTGTAGGATAATAACGGTCTAAAAAACTTTATTTCTGTGTATCAATTTATAATTCTTGCATAACTTTACATCTGATCCACAGAGAGAAATGGAAAGAGATGCAGAAATTCTCACAAGGTGGAACCACATAAAAGGAACTGGATACTCCTGCTGACTTTCCAATATAGGCGGGGGGCATAATAGCAAGTGAAGGGGGCAACCGCAGCTAAGATGTGAGAAATATGCTTTTATTTAAGAACATAAGTACCGGGCTTGGCTGAGGAAACAATACAAAAACCTTACAGAAACAGAATGCCTGTGTAAATGATGTGGGATTATTGACACTGAAACAGATGTTGCACAAATGTTCTGGAGAGACTTCTAAATTTGAGTTTATTCCTTAAATTCTTAAAGACAGAAGTAAGCTGACAGGAAATCAGCATCAATTAATTCAAGGCTTTTCATGGAGAAAATATTGAAAACTATTTATTCAGATGAATAACCACTTTCATGTGGTTGGGTTAATGAGTCAGGAGTAGTTTTAAGGTTATACTGTGATGGTGTCTTGCAGACAGCAGGTGCTTAATAAATGCTTGTTGCATCAACATAGGCAGTCCCCTGCATCTAGATGCAGTGTAAGCCAGTAAAAGCCACCATTCAGATTTGGTTACAAATGGGCATATCTTTGCCAGATTCAACTCTATCAAAGGGCTGTCAGATACAGCACATGCTACTGTCTCAAAGAATCCCACCCAGCTGATGTAGATATTACCAGGCATGTTTTTTTCAGGGAAGAAAGCACACCCATGGCACACTGTACATCCCTGAGGGGAAGCCTGCCCTTTTTAGCTAGCCCACACGTACGCTCTGAGAGACTAACTGCTCCTCAAGTTCACAGAGTAACAAACTTGGCAGGAGGGCAAGACAGGTGATCTCCTAAAGCTTTGCCTGGGAGATGTCAGGTCAGCACACCAGAACAGTAGAATCCTAGCTGGAGAACTTAGGAATCACCTGTCCCAATCTCATTGTCTAGAGGGGTACACTGAGCCACCCAGAGTAGAGAAATGGCTTGGCCAAGGTCACCCAGGCCTTCTGACCCCTGGCATATGTCCTTTCCGACCCCAACATTTTGCTTTATACTATTCTCAACTTCCACTTTTCTCCAAGAAAAAAGAAAGAAAGAAATGTCAATTGGAGACATGTTTGAAAGCATGTTCTATCTTCTAATAAAGCACAAAACACGGCCAATGTCTACATATAATAAGTCAAATCACTTGAGTCAGATTTTTGGTACTGTTATTTTAAAAGTTTCTCTGCTAGACTCTTTTCTAATATAAACAAGCATTATTTCTCCATAACCAAACCAACATACTGATTTTGAGAAATTCCAGAGATCAGTGGCCTTCTGGAGGGGAGGCAGCAAAGGCTCTGGTATTTTTTCCTCCTCTCAATTTCCGCAACAGCTAAAAATTCTTGTAACACAGCAGTTACTTAAAATTGAATTCCTGCTCAAGCCTGTGAGAATGAAATAGAATCCCTTTCAGAAATAATGACTACACAACACCACCTTGAAACAAACTGTGAGTGATTCCACCTCGAAAACCTACACTTTCAGAAGCATTACCTTTGGGGAACGCTAGAGCTAAGTGCAGCTGCCTCTCTTCCAGGCAGTGCGTGTGAAATTATCAACATAGCTCTATGCAGGCTTTCCACTGGTCACTGGGTAAATGGAGCCCCAGTCGCAACAGCAAAATCATTCAGATCTAAGAGCATTCAAATGTTTAAAAGGACTAAAAACGTCTTTTTTTTAAGGACTGGAAAATATTATTGTTATAACGTGCTCAAGTAAAGGCTCCCAACAACCTGCACAGAAGAAGGCACATTCCAAGTGGATGGTGGATGAATTCATCGCTGTTCTAGGACGAAGCATTTTACTTCGACACCTTGCTGCCAATTATGGACCACCTTGGTGTCTAGACAGTTGTTTCCTCTCTGATGAATTCTATTCATTCATTCATAGAGATTTGTAGTTTAAAAAAAAAAGCCACTAGCTCACTCCCAATGATTTTAAAATAGCACCTTTCCATTCAAGAGCTGCAAATATATTATAATTGTTAAAATAAAACAATAACAAAGAACGAAAGCTGGGAGTGGGGGAGCTTGGAGGAAAGGGCAGGGAAGAGGTTTTCTTTATTAAAGACTTAATCAAGGCTTATGCATGGGACTTGAAAGTAACTTAGACAATGGGTTTAAGAAATTTATCAGCCTTTAAGGTCCTGTGTGACTTTGAGCAATGCCCCTTCCTATCTCTGGGCCTCAGAGTCTCAACTACAAAATCAGAAGTGACAAATGGTCTCCCTTACAGTTTAAAAAGCAATGGATGACTCTCTGATTTTCCCCAACTGTGGAGAAATATTGATTCTAAAAGCGAATGGATGTTAACCATCTAAGCTCTAAGCCAGTCAACCTGAATATTAAATACCCCCTTAACTCATTTCCAATTCCTAATCATGAAGAAGCCACTTAAGGCTTGCGGCAACAGATGTCAAACTAAAAAGTTCTTAACTGGTTGACAATAGGCACATCTTTAGAATTGTTAACTAGAAATGGTAAAATCACACAGTTAGGCACAAAACACAAGGCAATCTATTCCAATTTAAACCAACCTTTCACCCCTCCACCCTCACCCCCACGAAACAAAAAACAAAACAAAAACAAACGCACTTCTAAAGCGGCAACCCCTAAGGAAACTGATTTTTTTTTTTTCCTTCCAGTTACACGGACTCCTAAAACTTGGCCTTGGCTATTTTCTGCCACATCCTTGAAAAATCCATTTCCCCACAGCTGCCTGCGAAGCAGCGAGCTCGGTGACCCACCACACAGACTGAGACCGCGGCAGTCAGGGTAGTAACTGTCACCTTTCCTTTTCTGAAGGAATAACGAGGTTCCCAGACGGTGGGGGGTAAGCTGGAGAAGAGACGGGTCCCTTCATCACCCCCTCCCCAATACCTGCTCCTTTGTGGGACAACAAGATTAAGTCACCTCTCACGGCTCTAGTATCTAAACCAATAAAACAAGACAAAAACTGGTGCGTAACCTTCCCAGGCAGAAAGAGTCCAACCCCGGATTTGGGCACAATCACAGTCACGGCATGTCAGCACTGAAGCGGCCTTTGAAATTCCAAGTCCAACTCCTCGGCTTTGCAGATAAAGGGCGGCGAGGCCGGGAGCGGGGAGGGCCCGGGAGTCGGGACTGCAGCCCGGGCAGTGGCCGGAGCGGCCGGGCGCGGGGACCCTGACGGGGAGGGGCAGACTCACGCTCTTGTCGATGTCCAGCTTGAGTTTCTTCTGCGAGATGCTCTTCTGGACCCTCTTGCTGAAGGAGGCGTTGCCCGCGGGCCGGACGCAGCGCTCGCCGTCCTCGATGAGGCAGCAGCTCTGGCCGTAGCCCGGGGCGGCGGCGGGGGCGGCTGGGGGCCCTTCGCGGCTATCCTCCTCGGTGCTGAAGCCGTTCATCTCCCCGCCCCAGGCCGGCCCCGCTGGGGAAGGGTCCCCGGTAGGCCACTCCGCGGCCGCGCTCCCCGCGGGGCAGGTCGCTGAGGCCCCCGCACCCGAGGGTCCCAGAGTCAGTCTCCAGAAGAGGCGCTGCCCTGCCCTGCGCCCGGGAGGCCAGGCTCCGCTCCGCTGCGCTCCGGCTCCTTCAGCCCCCTGCCCAGCTTCTCCGGAAACCCCCTGTCTCCCCGCTCGAGGCACCGGGGCCGCCTCCCGCGGCTCGCAGGGCCCCGCCGGGGGTCACCCAGAGGCGTCTCCCGCCGGGGGCCCAGAACCGTCACCCTCCGACAGGGACGTCCGAGAGGGTGCCCCAGGAAGCAGCTGCTCCCCGGGGACTCCGAGCACAGGTTGCCAGGGGGTTTCGAGGGCCCCCGCCGGCTCCCGCCTTCTTTCGGCTGCCGGGCAAACTCGCCGCTGGGCAGCTCTCCCGGGGTAGCGCGGCCTCCCCGCCCGGGGCCCGGCCTCGAACCCGCGGCGCCAGGGCCCCGCGGCGCGTCCGGCCCGCCCCACCCCTGCAGCCGCTCGGCTGCTCCCCGAGTCCCGCAGCAGCCCCTGGTCAACCGGCCGCCGCCCGCCCAACGCACCGCACCACAACAGTTCACTCCCCCCGCCACCCCCCGCCCTCCGCGGGACAGCGGAAGTCCCGCCTCCGCAAGCCCATTGGCCTCGCTCGCTCTCTGGGCAGGGCCGCTGCCGCCGCTAGCGCGTCCCATTGGGCGCCACCGCCGCCAGTTCCCAGAGCCTGGCTACTTCCTGGACTCTGCTGGGATGGGTTCAAAGTAGAGAAAGTGGAAGAGGGAAGAGTTGCCGGGCGAGGGAGGAGGAGCGGGCCGCAGACTCTCTGGCCTTGGGGAGGGATGGTCAGCTGGAGCCTGGCTAGATGAAGAGCCATTCTCCGGGAATCGAGGGACAACATTCTGGGGCCGACATAAGTACAGACGGGGCGAGGGCGCCGAGGGAGAGACATGGGGGTAGGGACATATGAAGGGGGGACCTACGGGGTTTAGAAGTACTGTCATGAAAGGGACAGACTGGTAAACGAAAGAGACGGGACCTGAAGACTCGCACACCGATGGGAGGTGGGGTGTGTGAAACAGGACAGAAAGCCAATCATGTCAGGAAAGACAGAGGGACAATCCCGTTATAGACACGTGGAAAGAGATGCGGGGGAGATGATAGGGGTTTGATTGGGAGCTCATGCACCGACCGAATGATAGGTGCAGCGCCAAGGTAGTCGTATGCTTGCGGGTTGGGGAGACCCCAGGCTGTGGAGATGGGACTGGCTTGGGCGGCGCTGAAGGGGGGGCGGGGGGAGGCGACCCCCAGGGGCTTGAGTGGTCACTTCGCTGGGAAGAATCGGAAGTCCGGATAAGGTCTGAAGGATGGGCGACTTGTACCGCGGGAAGAGAGGGCGGCTGCGGAGGAGGTGGAGAAAAGGCTGGTTGGGGCAGAGAGAGGGAGCAAAGGCCAATTTCGGGCTGGGGAAGGGCTTGCGCTGTGTGGGGCTCTCCCAGGAGCTCTGTAAACTGCAGCTTCTGCTGTTCTAAGACCTCCGGTCTAACGGCGAGGTCACCGCACCTTTGGGATTCGGCACCCTGGGCGGCACACACACCTGGACGGGAGATCCTCTAGGGTAGGCCACCCCCAGTAAACAACTTGGGGAAAATGAGGTCCAAAGGGCCGAAGGGACTTGCCCGGGGTCAAGCAATCGTTTAGGGTTGGGTAGCAAGTTTACTTGCGGGGAGGGGCAGGTGAGCGAGCACGTTATCCTATTTAGAGAGTACTAGATGGCCAGAAAGATTTGTATCCTGTTAAACAAGGGAAAGCTACCAGTTTCCGTGTTTAGAAGCGGGTGCTATGTGATCTTAAATTTGTCTCAGTGGCCTTAAACGTGTTTGTAACCTCTAACCTAGTAATTTCACACCGGGGACATCCATCTTCTGAAACAGGCCTACAGAGAAAAATTTAAACACAAGGGTGATAATTATGATATTATTTATAACAGGGAAAAATCAAAACCTAAAAGTTTCACAGAGTGGTTAAGTAAATTTCCTAACATCTTTAGAATGAGATATTTTGCAGTGATTTATAATCTTTTCCAACATTTAAGGTAGTTTCAACATTTATGTAAATATTCTGTATATGTAACAATTCAGTATCAACCCATCCACAGAGTGAAGGAATGCTTTTTAAAAAACAACATTAAGTAAAAAGGCAGGATATAAAATTGCTTGTGGGATATGATGTGTGAATGTCTATATTTAAAAAAACAAAAAGAAAAGCAACTGTTTGTGCATAGGAAATACACCAAAGTGCTAACAGTGATTATTTCTGGGTAGTGGGAATATGGTTGATATTTTTCTCCTTTTGTTCTACCTCTCTGCATTTTCCCTAATAAGCATTTATTGTTTTTATAGTAGAAAAATATAGAATAAAAACTTAATGGAATAAGGCTCAAGTTTAATAGGATTCCTCTCTCAGAGTTCATATATTCAAAAGAAATTACTGAGTACATTGTGTCTGCCCAGCGTAGCAGGGTTGGCTACAGGAAGAGGATAAAACATAACCCTTGCCCTAAAAGAGAATATTTTCTAGCTGGGAAGCTCAGAAATTTACACAGAAAACAGATATCTGTATAAGGCAGTGTGTGATGTTGGTTCAAGGTGATTGGTAGGGTTAAGAACTCTACATTTTCCACACATATGTCAAAATTAGACATTTTTCAAAATAGCATTTGTATCCTGGGCCAGGCTCCTGCAGTGCACACAGCTTCTTCAGCACCAGCTTCCCCCTAGAACCCCCAGGTCTGTTGGGAGATTTTGTGTCAGTTTGTATCGAAATACTGTAGTGAGAAACCTAGTTAACAGCTTTTCCAACATACTTTTGTTAGGTTGTTGTAGTTATGTGCCCTGTAGTTGATTCCTACTCATAGCGACCCTATAGGACAGAGAAGAACTGTCCCATATGGATTCCCAGGCTGTAATTTTTATAGGGACAGATTGCCAGGTCTTTTCTTCCAAGGTGTGGCTGGTGGGTTTGAACCACCGACCTTTCTGTTAGTAGCCGAGGGCTTAACCATTGTGCCACCAGGGCTCCTTTTTGTTATGTTAGGTGTTGTCAAGTTGATTTTCGACTCATATCAACCCCATGTGACAGAGTAGAACTACCCCATAGGGTTTCCCAGGCTGTAATCTTTACAGGAGAAGATTGCCAGGTCTTTTCTCCCTTAGAGCTTCTGGTGGGTTCAAACCACCAGCCTTTCAGTTAGCAGTTGAGCACTTAACCATTGCACCAGTAAATTTCAGAGGATGGATTTCCAGCAGATTCCACTGGCAGGACTTCTCTGCCATTCAGTGAACCACAGCCATGGCCTCTCCAACAAGGTCTGGATTTCTGTATGCTTTAGGGTTCTGTATACTTCATATTGGTCAATCTCTCCTTCCTACAGCCCCCTGTTAAATTAATAAATACATTAAACTTTCCCTGTTCAAATTGTTGTGTGGTTTCTCTTTCCTGATTGGACTTAGGCTGATATAACCAGGCTTTCCATATATTTTCTTTTTGAGGGGGGAGGGCATGTTTTTACCCATCCTTTACATACAATTTTGTAGTCTGCTTTCTTCAAGGAATGCTTTATCAGAAGCTTTCCCAGTGTTTGTCATGTAGTTTTCACAACTGCTATTTTTAATGGCTGCATAATACTCCAAGTGCTGTAGTATGTTATACAGTGCTTAAGACCATTCATTGACTTTGCTTCAGAGTTGGGTTCAATCTGGGATGCACCCCTTACTTGCTATGAGTAATTCACTTGTGTTCACCCTTAACTTGTGAGAGAAATTCACTTCTCTAAGGTTGATGAAATGGATGGTAAGAAATAAATGTTTATCACAATGCCTGGAACATCATAAGTAATTGTTAGCTGTTGTTATTACCATAGTTTACTGTATTTCCCCCCAATCATTGGGTATCTATTTTTGTGATTCCATTTTTATTTGTTATTAATAACACAACAATAAATATTTTTGAACGTAACATTTTCAAAATTTAATATTACCTTAGCAGAGTCCTGAAGTGGAATTGTGGTCAAAGACTAAGATTTTCATGGCTCTCAATGTATATACCATGGCCTCTTAACCAAGCTCCCTGATCCTCTCCCCTTCTCACCCCTGGCTCTGTGCTACCCACCCAAATCACTCTCTATCCAATCAGGCCCCAGTTTAGAAGTAATCCCCCACCAATGCTTAAAGGATCAGGTCTGGACACCTCTCCTAGGCTATCACAGCCCTAAAAAAGCTCTTCCCTCCCCTATGCTCTGCACTTCCCTCTTTTGGGAGTGTGGTAGATGGCTCCGGGAGTGGTTTCCAATAATTGCCCTTCGTTGGGAACAGGTGGACATGCAGGGATGGATCCCATGCTGGATGCTGGGTTAGGCATATGGCACTGTTCAGTTTCTCTCCAGAGAATGTGTCAATTGGAACTGAGAGGGGATACTGGGAGTGGTGGGTGCAGACACACTCTTATGATGGTACTTGCCTCCTGTCCTCCCCTGGGTCTGGTGGGGGGAGCTTGTCCTTGGATTCTGTGAGATAACTCATAGATATCTTGCTTGTTTGGAGACTGGAAGCTCTTTGAGGACAGGGAACTTGTCTGTATGGCTTATCATAAAATTTCCAGTGCCCAGGAACTTAGTTAATATTTGTTCAATGAATAAATGAATGGATGGGTACATGGATGGATGGTTGACTTGACCATTATGGCAGTACAACATAATGGTGGGGAGCACTGACTCTAGATCTAGTCTGCCTGGACTGGAATCTTGGCTCTGCCACTTACTAGCCTGGGGACCGTGGGAAACTTATGAAGCCTTTCTATACTTCATTTTCCTCATCTGTGAAATGGCGATGATGGTAATAATACTGAACTACTTCTCAGGGTTATTGTGAAGATTATGTGAGTAAATAGATGTAAACCACTTACAACCACGCCTGGCATATAAGGTGCTCAATAAGCATTAGTTGTTGGTATCATTATTATTACTGTTGGCTAAATTAGTTACAATTAGATTTGGCAGGTAACAGAAAACCCTAAAATAAGCTTGAATTTTCTCTCAACTTCAAGATTTCTAGAGGTGATCTGTCCTGGAATTGTCCCTCAGTATCAGAGACCAAAGCTGCTTCGCTCTTACTGAGCTACCATGTGTGGCCTTCCATTCCATTACCTCATGGCCCAAGATGGCTACTGGAACTCCATCTCTTTGGTGGGTTCTGGCCAGAAGGAGGGAGGGGAGAGAGACGGCTCACCCTGCTTTTTAAGGACACTTCCCATGTACATCCTTTTGGCCAGAATTTGGCCATACTGCACGGGGGGCTGGGAAATGTTGTCCTTATTCCTGGTGGCTGTAAGCTCAGGTAAAAACAGATAGTTCTGTTAATTGAGTAAAAGGAAGGCTTGTATATTTGGGACACAACCAGACATCTCTGCCATACCTCTCTCTAGAATTTCCTCATCTCCTAAATTCTGCAAAGACCTACAGTTTTGACCTGGGGACCACTGTAGCCTCAGCATTTTGCCACTTTTCAAGTTTCTGAATCTTAACAATTTTCTCTGTAGGCACTGCTACTGTCTTCAATAGAGTGTGCATC